TCCCTTCCTCTCTGTCTCTCTGTCTCTCTGTCTCTCTCTCTCTCTCACACACACACACACACACACACACACACAGAGGCAGGGGTGGGATTCAAATTTCTTAACCAGTTCTGTGGGCGTGGTCTAATTTTGGGGTGTGGTTTGGTGGTCATGTGACTGGCTGGACATGGCTTGTATGTAAATATTATAAATATTTATATAAATATTGATTTTTTTATTAAAAAAGAGCAACTTTTACCCAAAATCAGGCAAAGCAGGCAGGCAGATTGAGTTGCTCACAGAATCACAGATTCATTCAGAGATCTGTGAGATCGGCTACCTGAACCTGTCACATAAAATTTGCTTGCAAACAAACCCATACAATTTGTTAGCAAGTAAACTCACAAAATTAACTCACAAGACACCATGTATGTAAATATTGAATTTTTTATTTAAAAAAGAGCAACTTTTACCCCAAATCAGGCAAAGCAGGCAGGCAGATTGAGTTGCTCACAGAATCATTCAGAGATCTATCTATCTGCCATCAGCTACCCGAGTCTGTCACATAAAATTTACTTGCAGTGAGTCTACACTGAATAAAAGCTTCGGTCCTAAGGAAGATCTAATGATTAGTTAGAAAGCAAGAAATCCAATAGTTTCTTGCTTTCTAGCTAATCTAAATCTCCCGGCACAGCAGAATAGCTGATGGTCAGAGGGGGAAAAAAAAGGAAAAATAGCAACTTAGCAGGCAAGTTTGCCAGGTAAGGAGTGAGTGAGCGGGGAGGGTTCCTGCGGGCCATGTGGGTGGCGCAGCCTCGTGTTTCTGCAGAACCTGGATTAATTGCTTTGGGGGGGGTGCTCTGGGGCTGAGATTTCTCTGCAGCCCACCAAAATTTTCTCGCACCCCACCAGTTGGCAACCGCTGCTCCAGGGAGTCTGCCAACTGCTCCTCTTCCTCTCTTCCCAGGGAAAGGACGGGTCGGGGAAGAAATCCAGCCAAAGTAGCCAAGATGGCAGCACCACAGCTTCCTGCAGGGGAAGGTAATTTGGGTGAACAGGGAAGGCAAAGCGGGATCAATCCAGGAACTTAAAACATGAATGCTGAAGCTATATCCAGTTTGGAAAACACACTTAACAAATTATTTCTCATTCGTTAGAAATAGCTGTTCAAATATTTAAGTAGCCCCCCGTTCTGACCCAGCTCCCCAAACACGACAAAACCCTCTGATGTGAACTCAAAAGATTCCTTTATTAGGAAGACCAACAGCCCCGGCCAAAAAGTTTCTCTTGCAGGCTAACAAGTCCGGCCGGCCAGAAGACGGATAGTTGTTTGCCACATCTATTCATTTCCACCAGATGAATATTATCCCCAGAGCTAGGGTGGGGCTTCACTAGCTGCATTGGCTCTGCCATCCCAAGGACCAGCCCATAGATTTCCACTGCTCTCCTCTCCTCTCCTTTCTGTGCCTCCATGCATCAGGCACTGGACACGGCTGTTCCTCCTCTTCTTCAGCCACCTCCAGACCTGGGCGCTGTTGACTCTCCATTTGAGGGCTGACAGAAGGCCTAGGCTCTGCCTTTCTCTCTCTCTCTCCCTCTCTCTCCCTTTCCCTCTCTCTCTCTCTCTCCCTCCCTCTCTCTCTTTCCCTCTCTCTTTCTCTTTTTCCCCCTCTCTCTCTCCCCCCCC